CTGCTGTTTCCACTGGGAAGACAAATGGGGTGGAGGTGGATGGGGTTGCTGGAAGTACCGGCGTCCTGGTTAGGGGAGGCAAAACGGGGCAGATATAGTTGATCCCAAGGGCCCCGAAGCCGCGGGGAGTGTGGGGCTGGTGTTAAAGACATTGCCCTGAGAAGAGACAAGGCAGAGAGAGGCCCCGACTCAACACAAGCCCTAGAATCAGCCGCTGAGCATGGAGGGTGCCCTGGGGGGAATCAGTCCAGCAGCCTCTCCCCTAACCAGGGACACTGAGCGGGTTGGGGCCTGCCCCCAGGTCACAGCCCACGGTGCTCCCCAGCCCCTCCCAGGAGAGGACCCAAGAGGCCCCCCACCCGCGCGACCCTGGGGCGGGGCGGGGTGCCCCACCGACCGGAAGCACGTGGCCCCCTCCTGCCCGTTGCCCCGGAGACGGGGGCTGTTTACCAGCCGGACTGAGCCAGGCAACTGCGGGGGCGGATGGAGCAGCGGCCAGGTGAGCGCGCCCGCTGCCCTGGGACAGGCCGCCCCCCCCCGGGGGGGGGGGGACAGGAGGGGTCCCGGGGAGAAGCGGCCACTCCGGGGCAAAGCCAGCCAGCCCGGCCCAGCTCACCGTTGCTGGATGGGACAGCTCCCGGGCTCCGCGGAAGCCGAGGGGGCTGGGAAACCGCCGGGCCATGCGCTCCTGGCTGGGCAGTATAGACTGGGACACGGACAGACCCACAGGGACCGAAGGACGTCCTGCCCTCGGATCGACCGGAACCAGATCAGAGCCTCCCCCAGACCCATGCGCTTTCACCCAAGGCACCGCTCACTTTCTAGACGTTCTTTCTTGCCCCTCCCCCAAATGTCTGCTTCTGCTGTTCCAGCTCAGCTCCTTTCCTTTTAGAGCTGTCCCTACTTGGAAATAATTAAGCTCTCCTCCTCCTCCTACCCCCTCCCCCACGCTGCTCTAACAACCATCCCCACTGCCTTTTCCAAACCTTTGATCACTTGGTGGCTTGTGGTCCAATTTCTCCACTCCCCCTTGTAAACGTGGCACTCTGCACTCTGCGTGGGACAGTGCATTCTAATCATTTAGCCGGGGGTAGAACTGGGAATGGTACCAAAGTTTTCTCCTGCTCAGGCCAACTACCATCTCCTGTTGATTCTTCTGAGTGCTTTCATCTTGAAAGCCTCACGGGGAAGGGGGGGGCGGCGGATTGGGGCTTGGGGGTGGTGGGGTTGTTGGCAGGGGATAGTATTAACTGATAAACATTTTTAAAAGACCAATTCAAATGTATGCATGCTCAGTATATACCAGCAGATGGTACGTGGGTGGGTGTATTTTACTGCATTTGCTGTGGGTTTAGATTTGGGTTGCCAGTGAAAGGGGGTGGTCTGACCCTGTGCTGAGAGGTGGGCTCCTTTGGAAAGCAGGAATATGGCCTCTGCCTTTCCTGTCCAATGTTCCTCCTTTCCAGTCGATTGTACAATTCATCTTAAGCAATGGGTACCTGCCCTTTTGGCAGTTCCCTGGAAACCGTTACTGATGTTTGTTTCCTGACTCCTAGCAGGCCTCTGGGGTGTAGCTATTCTGTTTAAGCAAACAGGCCACTTGCCTATTTGGTTGGTGGCTTGATGGATGCCCACACCAAGATCTTGTCAAATCACTTTGTGGTTGAACGTCTGCCAGGCCTCGAGGTGGGGAAAGGAGCTAAGCGGGGGGTAGTGATGGGCACTGCCCAAGCCTTCCCGGACCCAGGGGAGTGGACAGGGTTCGGGACCCAAGGTGTAGATACAAAAGCATGGTTGGCCCAGGTCCTTAAACACCTGTTCCCCACCACCACCTCCCCAGCTTCCCCTTTCTATGGGATAGATGCTGGGGAGAGTTGGTGTTCCCTCCGTGTGACAGATGGTCCCCGCGCTCGGGAGGAGGCAGTGGGTTATGAAAGCAGGTTCGATGGAGCGGTTTTACCTGAAGGAGGTGTTAGTCTCTAAATAACCATGAGTGGGCTTATAGGAATTAGTCATAATTGAGGTTTTTTTCTCTGAGATAGCTCGCAGTCATGTTATCTTATGACCAGGGTGTCTTGAATATGACACCCCCTGAACATGGATAATTATATAGTACCAAAAGGTATAGAAAGTGCATGCACATAGTCAAGTTTTACTGTTAAAAATAATCCAGCAGAGAGCCTGCGAGAACACATGACTTTCCTCATCAAAGTTGTTAAGGAAGAGGTTTCTAAGTTACCAAACTTACTGACAGTTAAACCTTCCTGAGGCATGTGTGGGAGTTAGAAGCCAAGTCTGTGATAATTCTGTAGAAGCTGTGGCAAATTAATAGCCATTGCTGGAGGGGGGAGGGAGGACCGAGAAGGGGAGCTGGTTCCCAAATTGTGCTTATCTTTGGCAGAACAGTTGGACAATCACGACCTTCTCGTGTCACCCTGAGTTAAAGTGCAGAGCTGCTTAATTACAAGTGAAAGACTTTAGAACTCAGCCAACAGGGGAAAAACCACATTCTTCACAGTTGATCAGAAAACAGATTAAATTAACAAGGAGACAGGCCGGCTTTTTTTCATGCCAAGGAGAAGGTTCCTGAACTCCCAGCAGCCAGATTGGGTGTGAAAACCTAGCGAGAAGTAGAAGATGGGAAGTGTGGAAAGACCCAGTCTGTGGACAGAAGGGAGCAAACATAGAGGCCTTTAAGTTAAGAAAGGGAGGATAGCTTTCGAACTGGCTAGTGCCTGGGGAATATAGGGGAAGACTGTGTCTTGTTTGGGTATGGTTTTAATGGAGAGGAAGAGGATACTTTCTAAAATTTGGCAACATGGGTAAAATTTGGAACATGGGTTCCAATAACATTAGAATGCAAGGCTACAGGGTTGGAATTACGTTGCTCAGGACTGTGATGAAGGTAGCATGGCGTAAGATGGTTTGAGGTAAGGATGCAATTAAAGTGGGACATCAGAAGGCATTTCTTAGGAAAACATGATTTTGCATTTTTTAAAAAGATTTTATTTATTTATTTGTCAGAGAGAGAGGGAGAGAGAGCGAGCACAGGCAGACAGAATGGCAGGCAGAGGCAGAGGGAGAAGCAGGCTCCCTGACGAGCAAGGAGCCCGATGTGGGACTCGATCCCAGGACGCTGGGATCATGACCTGAGCCGAAGGCAGCTGCTTAACCAACTGAGCCACCCAGGTGTCCCTGATTTTGCATTTTTAAGCCAAGTTCATGGGCAGTTGAAATCAACCTTCCGGCATTTCTGTGCAGTGGGTGGGGCAGGCACGGGTTCCATGGTTTGCCCTGCTGGTCAGAGGTGGCTAGGAGGAGAGCCACCAAGGGCCTCCTGGGGGAAAAACTCTGCAGCAACAGGTAAGGTTTTGGGACCTAAAATAATAGAAAGCACTAAGCAAACAGAAAACCAAACACAAAAGCAAAAGAACTTTACCTCTTCTTAAGCCTTGACTACACATGCCTCAAGCCTGGTGTTTATGGCCACTTTACGTGATTTCGTATTACCGTCTTCCTGTTGCGGAAAAAGGGACTGACCTTAGAGGTATTTAAATAATGTCTTCAAGGTCATATGGCTAATTCTATAGGTGAGGAAAGGGATGCATCAGGAAGGTAGATTGACAGTCCCGTGGTTTCTCAGCTAACTCCCGGCCCAGCCTGCAGTAGAACCCCAGACTTAGGACATCAGGTCCTGGTTCCTTTGCACTCGGACATGCTGTTCCTTGGGGACTGTGAGGCACTGGGAAATTACCAGAAGGTCTTCAGAGGACAAGGAGACACCTGGTCAGCCTATGTGGTGGTGGTCAGGATTCCAAGGTGGGGGGAGCCCTAGACGCCCCGCAGTGTACAGGAAAGTATGTCACCAGGGCCTGGAAGGGGGGAGGTGGTGGCAACCGGGTTAATGAAGGGGCCACCAAGATGGTGAGGGGGGAGAAGGAGACTTGATTTGGCCATTGGGGCCTGCACAGAGAAGTGCCCACGCCTCCTCCTGAGCTTGGGAACCCGGGGCTTCTATGGGACTTTGCTAGCACGCATGAGAACCCCCTTGCAGGGTTCTCCAGGTAGCTAGGAAGACAGAAAGTGAAGCCCGGTCCTCCAGAACAGGACTGCGGGTCACAAGACCTGGGTTCAAGTCCAGGCTCTGCCGATAGGGGGCTTTGTGAGCAAGGAGCGAGTGTTCTGGGTCCTATACCTGTGGGATGACCTCGTGCCCAGCGTCCCTGTGGAGATGGTCTAAGACCCGGTTTGGTACACGACGGCCCACTGCCGGTTTTGTGTGGCTTGTGGGCTAAGAATTGGTTTTGTACTTTCTAATGGTTGGGGGAAAAATGGAAAGAAGAGGAATCTTTTGTGCCCCATGAAAATGACATGAAATTCAAATGTCAGTGTCCACAAACGAAGACTCATGACACACAGCCACCCCCGTTCATTCACTCGCTGTCTGTGGTGGCTGCCACACCCCATAGGCAGAGTTGTGGAGTTGTGTGACAGACCCCGTGGCCGGCAAAACTGGAAATATTGGCTATCTGGCCATTTACAGAAAAGGTTTGCTGGCCCCTAGCCTAGAACCTGCGTACCTCCCTGTGAGTTCTGGCCAACGGGCTGAGATCAGCAACGGTGCCCCCTCCCTGACCCCGTAAGAATAAGAATTCACCACCCCCCCAATCCAAGTCACTCCCCGGTGCCGACTTTGTTTATTTTCCTCATGGCAATTATTACTCATTGAAAGTATCTCTTCACTGGTGGGCTCGACACCTGTCTCCCCTCACTCTTGGTTCACTGATTTTTCCAAGTGGTTTGAAATGACGGAGGTTGTGAAGGAATGCGTGGCACCCGGTGCCCCCCACCCACGCCAGAAATCCAGAGAGGAGCCCCAAACTCCCTGCCAGCTGGCACTGATTCCGGCCCCGGGGGTGATCGGCTTGGAGGCGGGAGTCCCGGGAAGTATAATCCACGGCTTCTCTTCTCTCCTGCTTCCTTAGGGGTCTTGAGAAGCAATGGCCACCGAGGCCCCTGTGAACGTAGCCCCCCCTGAACGCAGCACCGCGGGCCGCACGGCCGCTGACGGCTTCATCTGGCAGCCAGACTCGGCGAACATGCACGTCCTCAGGCCCAAGTCCGCCAAGGGACGGACGCGGCCGAGCCTGCACAGACCGCAGGGCACAGAGCCCGGTCCTCACCGCGCGCCGGCCTCCCTGACTCCAGCCATCCCCTGCGAGCCGCCCGGCGGCCAGAGGCCGGGAGCCTGCGCACCCAGGTCTCCAAACCAGGGAGCTCCCGGCGAGATCCCCGAGCTGCTGCAGCAGATGCCGGCTGGCGCTTCCTCCTCCCTCAATAAATACCCAGTCCTCCCTTCCATCAACAGGAAGAGCCTGGAGGAGGGGTCTGTGGAAACAGTGGTGAAACAGGCCGGCTCCCTGCAGCTGAGCAGCACCGTGAAGACGAGTGAAGAAGAGTCCAGAGCTCCAGCTTCTTCCCCAGAGAGGAAAGTCATCGTCCGGACCAGGAGACAGACCTCCCCCAGGGCGGGGGACCCGGAGGAGCCCTCAGATCAAGAGCCCAGGCTGCTGCTGGCCGTCAGGTCGCCTTCGGGCGGAAGGTTCGTTCACCATTTCTGGCCCACCGATGCCTTACAGACAGTTGTCGCTGTGGCCGAGGACAAGAACCAGGCCAGCTACCAGCCCTGCAGCATTGAAACCATGGAAGTGCCCAGGAGACGGTTCTCTGACCTCACCAGATCTCTGCAGGAGTGCAAAATCCTCCACAAGTCGGTGCTGGGCATCTCGCAGGAAGAAGGGGAGGGGGAGCTCTGAGTCCACAGCCCCCTAGCCAGGGTCCTGGGTCTCTGAGCAAGGAGCACGCTTGGCTGCTGTGGCCTTCCGGGCAGCTCAGTCCCAAGTGCCGTGTGAACTTGGGGCGGCTGTGATCCTTGCGACCCACCTTCACAGCCTCTCCTCTGCAGGAGTGAAATTTGCACATGCGCCAAGCACACTGAGAAGGTTCTCTTCCAGTTGTTAAATTCCCTCCAGCACTGGAGTGAACTGGCAAGTTAACCAGGGCTGTTCCTGAAACCACCGTGACCAGGTCTCCCCCTTCCCCGAGGTCTGGGTCCTTTCTGGAGCACCCGCTTGCCTTTACAAATGAACTCTCCCTCTCTTGAAGCCAGTGGTTTGCCTTTCTGTATTTGATGCAGGATTAAATACTTCCCAGAGAGGATTCAAGTCTGGTAAATAACTAGGGCTCAGGAAATGTCGAACTGGCATTTGTATTTCTTGCAAACATCTTTAAGAAACAGGCAGTTGACACTATCTTGGAAGCAGCCTCTTTGCTGGGCTCGGGTGGCTAGAGTTTCTTGGGGATTACAGTTTGTGTGATGTGGCTTCAGAGGAGAGAACAGGTCTTTTGCTAATACAAATCCCCCAACACATCAACGTTTCTGAAATAGTCTGGGAGCTAGAAAGCATATAGCTTCCACAACCGTGGATTAGCCAAGTAGCCACTTTTAAATAGAGAATAAGTAGGTTTGCAAACATCAGTAGCTACTCTCTGCATGCCACAGTCTTCCCAAACTGAGAAAAACCAGTGTACTCTGATTTCCTTTGCTTTTGTCACTCATGGAATCTTTTTGTTTTTAAACCATATGAACATACAAGTCTGTACAAGTTTGCACTGAAGGCGCCATTGGCTTATCGGGGTGTGGAGACGTGGTCTCGGTGTTTCACCTCCTTCCAACAGAGACTCCCTGGAGCGGGGACAGCAGTGTCCCTGTTTTGTGATTTCGGAACCCCAGGGAGGACAAGGGTTCCTCTATCGGGCCTCATTCAGCTGCACCCATGCTGAGAGACCCTGTGCCCACGTGTCTGGCTGACTGGCACGTGGGGCATCTGAATGCCTTAGCCCAGCCGTGTTGAAGACCACGGGATCTTGGCTTTCCAACTCTGAAGTGGTGACGTGAACAACTCGCCAGAGTCCTCTTGTGTCGGGAGTTCAGCAAGACCTCCAGCTCTCATCAGGATCCTCTTTGTGGCCAAATCACCATTCAGAGTAGGGGAGCCAGTCCCTCAAGAGCTCTGCCATCACAGGCGCCCTCCCTGCTCCTGGGTACACAGAGAAGGTAGGAGTTCCAGAAGCCTATCAGCGTGGCGGCCTCAGCAGCAAGTGCGCCTTGTACCTAGATAAGGAAGGCGGCTGGAAGTGTTACATCCAGCAACTTGATACTCAGCCACGGAGATTAACGCCAACATCGTTTCCTCTAAAGAAGGCTCGCCTTGTCCTTCCACATCCCACACCACCCAGATCACTCCAGAGTGGGTTCTTTCAGAATGTGTGGTCCAATTTCCTAATACCAGCTCAGTTGCAAAGGTCAGCTGGGACTTGCTGGACCTTGGGCAGCCCACGCAGTTGGCCACCTCTCCCAACCAGCGACCATGGTGGAGGGGACTTGGGTGGGGGGGTCGGCGTCGAGCCTGGTACTCTCAGTAAAGGAGCTTTTTACCTCCCACCCAGGACCTGGGTGCATATCTGCCTCTGATCCTAGGAGGCTGGGGGAAGAGCCTCCCTCAAAATCACACCTACTCTGTGGTAAGAATAAAATCCCACCCACCTGGGACTCGGTAATTTCTCCAGGCAGGAAATCTGTAGAAAACTTCAGCGAAACAGAGCATGCTGGAGGGAGCTAGAATCTTCTGCACTTAGGGCTTTGCAGCTGCAATTCAGCTTGGAATTTGGGGGTGGCAAAAAAAAGTGGAAGGCATGAAACATAGAAATATTTTAGGGTATCTTAGGACATGAGAATAGAGCTAGATTTGAGCCACCTTGATAAAATTTTTTTTTTTGGACAAAAGGATGATGACACAATAAAAATTGATTTGTGTGAAGCCAAGTCGGCGGAGAAACACGCCTTCTGTTTTCACGCAGGACTCCAGCCCCTGCGCTCCAGCGGACAGAGGGGCTCACCGACCTCACCTTCTTGGGAAAACACCGAGCTCTGCTGTTAAGTCCAAGTCCCTGTCCCCAGGCACCCCGGGTCCCCACTCTTCCCATAACTCTTGCTTTCAGGTTACAGGATCACACCAAGCTCTCTACGGCAAGAGTCTCCTGAATTTCTCCGAAAAATCATTCCGAGTATTCTCCTTTGGAAGTTGGCAAGAGCCGCCTCTCTCACTATCAGAGAGGTGACTTTGCAGGTGGCACTGTCACGTGGGCACCCCGGTCTAATGAGTGGCTTTGGGTGACCGCTTTGTAGTCACAGACCTCACTCATTCATTGAACCAGTGGTCAGTGAGGGCCTACCCTGTGTCATACACAGGTGACCGGCATTGGAGTCCCACCAAGGGACCATTGACAAGGAAGCGTAAAACCATCTTGGGAGTTGAGAGCCCGACCCAAGTGAGGGGCTGTAGATTTACCCGTGAAGGATCCTGGAGTGAGGAGGAAACAAGCTGTTGCTGTCTCCTCGCCGCCTTGTGGAAATGCAAAGGCGAGTCCTCCCCACCATTCTAGCGATAGCACCAGGAAAAGAGTGGTCATTAGGGATGTGAACTTTGCGTAGGACAAAGCTTCAAGACCAGTTTTCGTAGCATCTCCCCTGACACAGTCCAAGAGGTAAACTAGTTCTGGCGGCAGAAGGAACAGCAGGAGACATAAGTGACTCATCATTTAGAATCCAAAAACTTTTCACCAACAGATGGCAGGTGGTTTTAACACAACAGTCCTTGCCCTGAAAGTACCTGGGGATCCAGCCAACAGCCGGCAAGGCAGGGCAGTCCTGATGAAGAGATGTAGGTGAACGTGACCGTGGGCCGGTAGTCACTCCAGAGATCCCACAGAAATACTCCACAAGTGAAGAAACGTAGACAAGCCTTGAGGTTTCCATTACCATGAAAAACCTTAAAGTCTAGTGACCGATCACTGTCCCAGGCATGCATTACGAAAGGAGGTGTACCGGGAACTAAGTTTCGCTTTTGTCCAAGCACTTTACCACCATTTCCTGTGCGCTTCTCATGTCAAATAAAACCACACTGCCCCAAGGGGCCAAAAAAAAAAAAAAAAAAAAGTTTCTCTTTACACAGTTTTTTAATAAGTTGAGATAAAAGGGTGCATGGTTTCCTGTAGTCTGAGGTGTATCTCAGACGAGACCTTTATATGGTAAGAGCATCTACTTTCTTACCTTTTAAACAGAGCTGCAAAGGAAACTAGATGATTCAACTTCAGCCTCCATCTGGAGTCAGTCTGCGAGGCAAGCGCAGGAACACCAGTTTCCGTTGTGCATGAGGCAACACACCCCTGTCAAGTGCAAGGTTTGGACCCCGTTCACCCTCGCCCTGAGCCAGAACCAGCCCAAACCCAGCCAAGGTCAGAAGCCAAGCGGAGTTGTTGGCAAAATCCAAGCAGAGCGGACTTGGGGTGACTCACCAACACACAAGACAGTAGCTCACGTTGTACAAATAAAATTGGCTGTTTCGTTTTGCGTCTACACTGGTGATACGGCGTTTTCCTTCCCTGGTGAGGGCAGGGTCTGGTAGCCCTCTCTGATGCCCCTCTGTGTTCCTAGACTTTCAAGCCACGGAGGAAGCAGCAACGCTCCCTAGTGATTTGTGCGGAAGATCAAATCTCTGGAGGTATTTTTGGACACACTTGAATCCTATCTCAGGAGGCTGAACCGCGGATAGGACAACTGCTGATGGGTAGGGTTAAGCAAGTCTCGCTCAAAAGGTCTGCTGTGCTGGGGGAGGGGGGATCACTCTGGGCGCTGGGTTGAGAGTTGACTGTGGGGGTTGGGGTGGGAGACGGAAGAGCAGCTCTGGCCATTGCCAGTGACCAGGGGAGAGACGGAGCTAACTTGGACCAGAACAGCAGCCGTAGATAACGTGCGAGGTGTCAGATTCTGGACACATTATCGGTTAAGGGGGGAAGAAAAGGCAAGATAGTTTTGGGGACTCACCCAAGTGGACATCACTTGACCGTATCGCCACGGGGGGCCATTCCTGCAAAAACCGAGCAAACACATCGGCCGCAAATATGTGCTTGGGCCGGGAGAAAGCACTGACCAGCAAACATATTCGTGGGAAAGAAGTGCGTGAGTGTTTTTAGAGAAGGTGTACAGAGAATCCGAAAGCCACTGATTGCTTTAATTGAGAAGAGATGCAACTAGAAATGTTATTTCACTGAACATCAATGAATCACCATCTAACTCTTGGGGTATGATTCCTGACCAAGGTTTCTTATTCAATTAGTTCCAGTAAAAAAAAAAAAAAATGCGTTGTTCATATCCCCTTCCTTCCTTTCCTGCCTGCCTCCATTCTGTTTATTCAAACCCAGCCGCTGACTTGGGATGCATTTCTTGGGAGAGCAAAGAAAACCACTGTCCTCCGACCTAATTAACAAAACTTCCAAATTTCAAGATTTTCGTACCCACCTGTTTTTGTTTGTTTGTTTGTTTGTTTTGTTTTGTTTTGTTTTTTTACAATGAGGAGATCTGTGCTGTAAGGCCTTGGTCTTTTTTTTTTTTTTTTTTTAAAGATTTTATTTATTTGACTGAGAGAGATCACAAGCAGGCAGAGAGGCAGCCAGAGAGAGAGAGAGAGAGAGGGAAGCAGGCTCCCCTGCTGAGCAGAGAGCCCAGTGTGGGGCTCGATCCCAGGACCCTGAGATCATGACCGGAGCCGAAGGCAGAGGCTTTAACACACTGAGCCACCCAGGCGCCCCAGCCTTGGTCCTTTTTGTGAGCAGCTGAGGGCGGTGCGTTCCGGCATCTGCCCTGTGAGGGAGAGCCAGGTCTGCTCTGGGTGGTAGGTGCCGCTGACAGACACCC